GATTGGAAAGATGAGATTAGAAGCCAGCAGACAAATTAAGAGGCAGTTAATATACTAATACACACACACACACACACACACACACATACACACACACACACAAATTAAGAGGCAATTACCAGGAGAGATGTGTTTAGAGCCTGAATTGTTATTTCTTCCCTAAGTCTATCCCTACTCTTAACATCTCTATTTCTGTTTATGGCACCACTGTCTTAAAAGGCACCCAGGCTTGAAAACTTTAAGTCATCTTTGTCTCTTTACTCTCTTGCTTGACAATGTCACTCCTCTGCTCAAAAACCATCAATGCTTCCCTATTGCTTCTAGAATAAAATATAAATTCTTCCACCTGTCTTTTAAGGCCTTCTACAGTGTGCTTTTCCCCTCCTCAAATGTTTCTATAGCATTTTATCTTGATCTTTTCCATGCCTGGTTTTATATATAGAAATTATATTTATACAGAAGAACGTAAGTTCCTTAAGGGTAAAGATCATATTTTTTTTAATCTTTGTATCCTCAGCACCTTTCATGATGCCTGGCACACATCAGGTGTTTGTTGAATAAATGAATCAGAGTTCAATTTGGGACATTTTGCAAAAGTAGTATGGAAGAAGGAAGAAGAAAAGTAGCTAAAGATGAGAACCAGAGAAAAAGAATCATCAATGGATCAAATCCTTAGAGGAGACAAGACAGGAGAGGTTCAAGCAGTGGGGTTAAGAAGGAGAAGGGCTGCACCCTTAAGACTAGCCAAAGGCCAGTCACAGAGGCAGAGAGATGCTTATATTCTAACAGGGAAAACAACGTGTATATAAATAGGCCCTAGTAGAAGAGAACTTTAGAGGGGAAAGCAGTAGCAGTTTGGTGACAGAGGGGTCCCAATCTTCTTATTTCTAGAAATTAAAGCTATCTATAATCATATGAAAAAATGCTCTAAATCACTATTGATTAGAGAAATGCAAATCAAAACAACTCTGAGGTACCACATCACACCTATCAGAATGGCCAACATGACAAAACAGAAAAATGATAAATGTTGGAGAAGATGTGGGAAAATTGGAACACTAATGCATTGTTGGTGGAGTTGTGAAATGATCCAACCATTTTGGACAGCAATTTGGAACTATGCCCAAAGGGCTATAAAAATGTGCATACCCTTTGACCCAGCAATAGCACTTCTAGGGCTATATCCCAAAGAGATCACACAAATGGGAAAAGGACCTACATGTACAAAAATATTCATAGCAGCTCTTTTTGTGGTGGCAAAGAATTGGAAATTGAGAGGATGCCCATCAATTGGGGAATGGCTGAGCTGAGCAAGTTGTGGTATATGAATGTGATGGAATACTATTGTGCTATAAGAAATGATGAACAGCCCAGTCTTCTTATTTCTCCGATTTACATCCTCTACATTTTTCATGTGCTGCCTGAAATCCTTTGGCAAAACATGTGTTGTGTAGGCCTGATCTAGACCTTAAGGCTCTGAAAAAAAAAGTCCACTCCCTTACAAGAAATCATAAAAAGAAATGCCCTTAAAAGACATAGTTAGGACAACACAATATTACACTTCCTATTCGCTTTGCCCAACCACCTGAGAAGTGTCTATTGTTGACACTTTTGTCATAGGAATAGAAGGTTTTAGGAAGGAAAGGATGAAACCAGTATAGACATATTAAAAAATGTCCCTCCCACCACTTAGGAGCCAGGGTTCTATTATATTTTAGAGATAACCAAAGTTTGTGAGTCAGAAAACTCCAAAATAAAATAAAGCCAGGGTCACTAATTGGCCACTGACTAGGTTGACTATGGAAAAGCAGTGACCAGCTTAATGAGACTTTCAATATGGCACCGCATGATTTGCCAAAGGGAATATTCTCTAAGAACAGAGGGAGGGAATAGAGTCAGTAACTAAGAGTCTGGGCCATTTAATTTAAAACAAAATGAATTAAGATCCTAATCTAAACTGGAAGCAAGATACCATAGGTATTCATGAGCATATATACTGAATAATCAATTAAGGAAGTTTCAATAAGAGTACAAAGATGTTCATTGTTTTGCACAATTAACTAAACAGAGGTCTGACAATATGCTATAGTTCAGGGCTTCTTAACCTGGCGTCCATAGACAGATTTCAGTGGGTGCATGAAGCTGGATAGGAAAAAAAAAATCCATCTTTTCACTGACCCCTAAGTGAAATTTAGCATTTCCTTCAATTATGAATTAAAAAAAATTCTAAGAGTCAATTGCCTTCACCAGACTACCAAATGATCTGACATCAAGATTGATATTAAAATGGTTAAGAATCCCTGCTGTAGTAGAAAAGACCCTGAGTTTAGAATCTAAGGACTTGAGTTTGAATTCCAGCTCTGCCAGTCACTATCTGTGTGACCATGGGACAAGTCCCTTAACCTCTCTTACTCTCAGCCTCCTCACCTGTAAAATGAGCAAGTTAGATTAGGTGACCTCTAAGGACACTTCCATATCTATATCTCTGGTCCAAATGCTATTTCATTTCTGGACTTCAAATGATACAAATCTCCTATATAGTTCCTACTCATTTCCAAGGGAGGACTGATTTTTTTTTTAATATTAAGGAGGGGAAACATAAACCCCTTTCCCAGATAGTTTGCTTACAGTGATGCCTAGGGGCCAGGAGATAACTGTGATAAACCTTTGAGGTGTCTTCCCAAATAAGTTTATTCTTTTGCATTGACAACTCAATAATTGAGCTGTTTGTCTTGAGGAATCAATTAAGAATTATTGCCTAGTTAAATGTCTGGCATTTATCTGCCTACAACAAACACTGATTTCTGGTGAATTTCCTTTTGAATTAAATATGCCATTTATATAGGAAAAGGATAAAGCCATTATAATCAGCAGGGTATTTTTAAAATGGATGCCAAATGAATTTGAAGGAATTAGATATACAAATTAGTACATTTACAAGATCCATTTAGTCTTTTGCCAGGAAGATCTGGTTACAGTTCTCTATCAGATTTTAAGCATTTTAAGGCAGGCAAATTCCTCTTCTCAAATAAATTAACTAATTTACAAGGTCATACAGCATTTGAAAAATTACAAAAATGACTCAGCAATTCACTGATCTAAGAAGTAAAATGCCACTTAATAACTATATTTAGTATGCTAGTCTTAAGGATTTCTTTTTTGAAATTGGACTGGTAGAGTAGGGAGAATAAAGAGATAGCCATATGGATAGCCAGAAAAATCCCTTCTGACATTTCTTCCCTGAAGTAGCCTTCGCTCCTTTCGAAATAATCAACATTCCTCTAGCTTAAACCCTCTGCTCAACCCTTGCACAGAGAACAGAGCAAATTGATTTAGGCTTTACCAGAAACTCTAACAATCTTGGCACATGGTAAACGCTTTGTAAATGTTTTTTTTTTTCTTTTCATTCATTCATTTATTATTTGGCTCCATCCATAAATGAATAGACTAAAAAAAGCCATTCATTTAAATATTTACTCTGTATGTTCTAGTACAGTCCTAAGTGCCTAGGAAACAAATACAAAAAGTGAGATAATCTCTATTCTGGGAGAATTCACATTCTAATGGAGGGAGACCAAAGGTATAGAAGAGTAGTGGCCAGAGTAGTAAATATTGCTCTGGAGAATCAAAGGAATAGTAAATTGATGCATGGTTCAATCTATTAGCGTCCTTGTTTAAAAATCAATAATAATATTAATCAGGTTACTGTGTCCAGAATAAGAGGTGGAAAAAGAGAGATTGTCGACAGGTCAGATGTCAAGCTGGACTAAGTGGATGGCTCTATAGGAATGTAAAAGATGGTCTGCTGCACAGGTGCCATGATGGTCCAGCAACACTCCCTATTTTACCAAATAAAAATATAACTGGCAAATATTTGACAAAATATATAAATATATAAAACACAGATAATGTTAATTTGTGGTTTTCTTAGGCAAAATGAGGCTTTTGGGGAATTTGACACCACTGGTCTAATAGTCTGGGGTGGCCAGAAACAGTGGGTTAGGAAAGTTTTCACTCATACACTCATTCCTCAGAGATAACAGCCTCAGGGAAAGAGTTCTAAAGTTGAGTTGATTAAGGTCCCCAGAGCTGGGGGCATTGATTTTGAAGGTCTGCTGATGAAAATGCTGGTTAAGAGTGAAAAGCAAGGCAGCAATGACAGGTCAGATGGCAAGATGGACTGGGTAGGTGGCTAGATAGGATGTGTAGCATATTAAGGAGGAAAAGTGAAAATAGTGCAGGTTGGCTAGTAAAAAATACAAGTGGTAATAAGTAGGATCTCTTTCAGAATGTGCCCCTTAAGGAACCAAATTCCAACACAAGTCTCAAAATAATGAACATGTACATATACAACCACCAACAGAACTAAAGAAAACAACTGAAAAACGATAAAGTCCCACGAATGGTTTCTCTTCGAATTGGAAACTGATTTTGAAAAATGTTTCTGGTAACACACAATTGAAACCAGAACTAATATTAAGTAGAGTTGCATCCCAGAAAGACGCAAGTAGATTTACACATATAGCAAGGGTGTTCTGGTAAATGTTTAACAACTGGCTGTCTGAGGGAGGAAAAAAGCACTCAGGACATACTCTTAAGTTTAATATGCATTATTAACATTTTCTGAATCACTTTCTTAAGTCTAGAGTGACACTCAACAAAATAATACATCAATGATTTGTAGCATTTACTGATTTCCTGGGTAAAAAGGTTTACAATGAAAATTTAACAATCAGGAGCCTGTTCTAGCTGGCTCCAGCACACTCCTGTGTATATTCTTTTTAGATCCTCATGGCAGCCTTTTGAGGCAGACAAGATAGGTATTAGTATCTCCCCTTGTCTAATGAAGAAAATTAAGGCTCAAAAAAAAAATCTAAGTTATTCACTAGAGAGTGAACTAAAACTTGTCTTATGGCTCCTAGTCTCCCTCCCTATGTGAAATGATAACTTCTTCACCTCACTGACTTTTAATAAGGGATCTGTTGCTTTTGTGTTCCCAGGACATTCATTTGGCCAGAAGGTTATACGATTTGGCTGCTGAAACAAGTCCAGATGCCCACATACCAGTGTCCTTGGCACTCTTGAAACTTGAAATGATGTATTTGCTCAAAGATGTTGTGTTTTATAACGTAAGTCTGGTTTGAATTATTCTCACATACTCTTTAAGAGAGGACAGGGCAGGTCAATTTGTGGTAATCATCCTTTTAAGTGAACTGCTCACTTCATTTTATAGGTGTAAATTTTCAATGTATATTTATAGATATTGATGTATACATAGTGTGCTTGTGTATATATTGTGTTATATATATGGGGTGTGTGTGTGTGTGTGTGTGTGTGTGTGTGTGTGTATTTGTGCCTGACCTGTAGTAGAGCATTATGAACTCATACTGGTCTGATCAGGCACAGTCAGACACATTATACCTTGACTCCAACATAGTGGTGTCATTTTGGTCCTTTAAAAATAAAGGACAGCAATATACACACACACATACATGCAGACACACATAAAGCAGAAGGGTTTTCTTCTTGTGAGATGTATATGTGTGTGTATGTGTATATATGTCATAGCTCTTATTTTGAAATTTCAAATTTATACATTTAACTAATAATTACTAATTACCTCCTGTGTCCATGGATGCACTAGATGTTACAGGGGAGACCAGGCTCTAAGCAGGGCAAAGCAGCAGTCTACATGAAAGTATTTTATCTTGGGAAGGGGAGTGGGGCACATTTACTCATCACAACAGTTCAGAGACCACTGTTACACATCTCCAGTCTTCTACTGCACTGTTCTCTGTAGGATTTGGATGAGAAGGAAGACTCCAGATCAGAGGTGGGGAATCTGCAGCCTTGAGGCCACACGTGGCCTTCTAGATCCTTAAGTGTAGCCTTTTGACCGAATCCAAATTTTACAGAACAAATCCAAAAGGATTCAGTCAAAAGGCTGCACTTAAGGATTTTCAGAATTCTTTTTTTTTTTTATTTTGGTGAGGCAAGTGGGGTTAAGTGACTTGCCCAGAGTCACACAGCTAGTGAGCATTATGTGTCTGAGGCTGGATTTGAACTCAGGTCCTCCTGACTCCAGGGCCAGTGCTCTATCCATTGTGCCACCTAACTGCCCCTGCACTTAAGGATTTTGAAGGTCACATGTGGCCTCAAGGCTCCAGGTTCCCCACCCCTGCTCCAGGAGAAGGTGAAAATGTAGGGTCCTAGGGTCCTTCCAGTGAAAGTTGAGGAAGGAGGAAGAAGAGGAGGAAGAAGGGATGAGCCATTCCCTATATCCCAGTAGGATTACAGTTGTGGTGAGACTGTCTCTCACAGGGCCTACCAGCACCAGTCCCTTCTTTCTCTTCCTATCCCTTCCTCCCACAGCCAACTGAATTTGCCCAGATACTGAGATTCCTAGTTATATCTCTGAAGAAGATAAAGTTATAGAACATACAATCCCTGCCAGCAAGGAGCTTATATACAGTCCAAAAGGGTGATATACAAGTATCTAAGTAATGTAAAGCAAAGTGCAATAAATGTCTTATAAATAATATAAATCAAATTATATAAAAATAGAAATAAGCAATAAAGGTAATTGATAAAATACTTTCATGCTTCAAAACGAAGAAATATGCAGGAGAAGATGTATGACCAGAAGGAAAAAAAAAAATAAAAGCAAGAGAGATCATCAGGATACAGCCTATGTACTACACTGGTATCCAGGCAATGTTGAGAGAGCTAGAGGATGGTCACCAGCACTTTGGGTTGATCACTAGCAGAAAACTAAGGGAGGGTGTGAACTAGGATGGGCCTGTATGCAACAAGTTTGTAATCTGTAGCATGAAGAGAAGACCCACATCAGTGACATCATAGAGCCATTCAAGAAAGGTTCAAGGTATCAAAGTTATGACACAGGTAGGCCTGGGGAAGTCCCCAGTCCTGTGGCCTACTAGTGCTATCAATGGAGAAATGATTGGAATTTTCAGTGATGGAGAGCCATCTTTGCTCCAGATTGTGTAGACTCAGAATGAGGAGGAAATCTTAGAACTAAACTTTTGCTAATTTCCACTCGACATTCCCTTCCAATGCCTCTTTGTGGAGTGGTGGAGGTCACAACGAGCCTTGAAAGGCTATGAGCATTATACTAGGCACTGGAAGAAAGGGTTAAAACTCCTCTCTTAATCTATATTTGGAGGTCTTATCTATAAAAGAAATAATTGCTGCCCTTGTAAAGCTTATAGTCTAGGAATTCAATTCAACAACCATTTATTAAGTGCCTACTATATTTCTGATACTTTCAGGCACTGAGGATACAAGACAGAATAAACACTCCCTGTCCTCAGGGAACTTATACTCTTTTTTTATTATTGATATCTCTTATTTTTACACAATCTGCATTTCTTAATATATCCCTCTCTTCCCCTGCAAATTCTTGTAAAAAAGATTTTTGTAACACATTTGCACATACACATACACACGTGCATACTGACACACATACTTAATGGCTGTTAGCCTTAGTTTCTTCATCTGCAAAATGAGGTGGAGAAGGAAATAGCAAACCACTCCAGTATCTTTGCCAAGAAAATCCCAAATACGATCATGAAGAGTCAACCACAATTGAACAACAAAAACAGCTCATTTTACAGATAAAGAAGCTGAGGCTAACAGCAGTTAAGTGACATGCCCAAGGTAACACAGCTAATAAGTCTCTGAGGCAGGATTCAAACTCAGGACTTCCTGACTATAAGGGCCTTATATTCTATAGAAGGAAAACAACATGTTCACATATAACTAAATACAAAAATATATTCAAATTAATTTCTGGAGAAAAGGCACATAGGAAATTGATATGTGCACATCACTATAACTCAAAATAATAATATGATAAGGGCATCACAGAGGCATAGAACAAAGTGCTAGGTAAGATCCAAAGGGGAAAAGGTCATTGTGGACTAGGGGAATCAGGAAAAAGTTCATATTCATATTGGTGGATGGGCATTTGAGTTAGGTAAAAATTCAAGTGGGGTAGCTGGGTGGCACGAGGACAGAGTTCGGGGCCTGGAGTTAGGCAGACTCATCTTCTTGAGTTCAAATCTGGCCTCAGACACTTACTACCTATGTGACCCTGGACAACTCACTTAACCTTGTTTGCCTCAGTTTCCTCATCTGTAAAATGAGGTGGAGAAGGAAATGGCAAACCAATCTAGTATCTTTGCCAAGAAAACCCCAAATGGGGTCACAAAGAGTTGAACATGACTGAAAACAACTGAACAGCAACAAAGAATTCAATAGCTGAAGATTGGGAAGAAAAATATTCTAGGTACAGGAAAAAACACTGGCAAAGATACAGTCAGGGAAGCACAGGGTATGCTCAGGGGACAGAATAATCCAGTTGGATTGAAGTAGAACATAGAATATATGGCAGAAAAGTATTATGAGTATGACTAAAAACGAAGGGCAATGATATGATGAATAATTCAAAATCTCAACGTCTACATTGCTAAGCTACCTTTTATTTTTTTTTTTCCTCAATAGCTTCATATGAAATGGAAACAGCTGAAATTGGATGTTACCCTCGGACCCTACTGGGATATATTCATAATTGGTGCCATTGTTGTTTTGCTGATGTTATTGCTTAGAAACCGGCCAGATTAAGGTAGCAATCAAATGAAAATCTGCTAGCAGAGTCCATTCATTTCTGGACTTAATTGCTGAGAACTCAACCAGTGAAAAACACTAATCACGTAAGAACCTGATAATAGATTCCATTCAATCCTGGGAATCTTCTCCTAATAAAAAAAAAAAAGTCCCCCACTTAAAGACGTGTTTGTTATGTAAATCCAGAGCAGGCATGCCCAAATAACAAATTCAGCCTTATTGAAAAAGAAAGTTGACAAAGCCTTATAACCATTCTAGAAGGAAACACAGTGTTGATAACAACTGCAGTGAAACACTGGGACTAAGATTCAGAAGACCCAAGTTCTGTTCTGGCTTCTGCCATTCTGTGATCCTCAGGTTTCTCATCCGTAAAATCAGGATAACTACTTTGCCTGCTTTGCAAAGTTATTATGAGGATAAAGTGAGAAAATGATTGAATATGCCCTTTAAACTTAGTGTAATATAAATATAAATTTTGTTATCATTATCATTATTATTAATCCAGCTCTGTAGAAGAAGTTCCTAAACCACAAATACCCATTGTTTTTCCTTTTGATTTTCCTTTAGACACCAAGGAAAGGCAAACAGGGGTTGCTTCTAAATGATTTGCTAATGTAATGGACATGTAGGACCATGAAAGCTGATAGGACTATTAAAATGGAGAAGGCAACACTTTGTACTTCACACTATCTGTAATGCTCTCTCAGCGAGGGAATTTGTGCTCTTTTGGGTTCTGGGAGAGTTCTACTTTGCAACAAGAGCATTTGCTCAGTGGGTGCTCATCCTTTCAGTTTAACTGCTCCTTCCTTCCTTATGCAAGGAGAAGATAGCAGAGAGAGAGACAGAAGAGCAGATGAATTTATTATGATAGTCACTACAGGAGTAGTCAGTTGGTGGGAGGGGAATGTGGTGAGCTGAAGGAAGTCTTCCCTGAAACTTCTATCTTTGAGAACAAAATGTTTAGAGGTGGATCCTCTAGTAATATGGCCACTGGGTGTGACTGTGGAAAAACAAAACATAGACTGAATGGGAGAAATTGATATTTCAGACCCTCCCCAGAAGAAATCCCACTGACCTGGAATTCTAACCCTGCAATTCAATTTTACCAATAAATGTATTTTAATTTAGATGTGAGTGATTCTTTTGGTGTCATGTTAAGTTGGAAAAGATTGCTAGAGACGATTTTCAACTTATGAATTATTGTGGTCAATATTCATATCCCTAAATTATCTAGGAAGAGACATTAATAGGGAAAAAATCTGGGAAGACTTGGCAGGTCCTATTCATTCTATCAATCACAGAAGTGGTGTACTTACAGTAGTGTGTGACATTGAAAGTTTTTAGCTGAAAGGAAGAACTAGTTACTCCCCTTGCCCACCCCATTCACCACTCTTTTGTTGGCAGCATTTTGTTCCTAGATCCTCCTTTAGGGCTAGGACTTTCTCTTTAGTCAATGCTCTACCCCACCCCCAGAGTGATGGGTTTTCTGTTAAACCTACCCTGACAGATCGATAACTAACTGCCTGAGACACCACTTCAAATACCAATCTAGCATCCATCAATCTACTGGGCTCATATATAGGCTGATCTGGATTCACTTGTTCTCTGCTTTGGGGACGCTATAAATATATGTATCAACATCTTTTCTGTCTAGCTCCAAGGCTCCAGCTCCCACCTTTCTCTCTCTCTGTCTCTTTCTCTCTCTTGCTCTCTTTCTCTCTGGATGTGTGTGTGTGTGTGTGTGTGTGTGTGTGTGTGTGTGTGTGTGCATGTGTCTCTTTCATTCTCTCTCTCCCTCCTCCCCCCACCCCATGTCAAGAAAGACTAAAACGTGAACTTAGAAGAAGATAACAATGTGAAAATAGCCACAAACAAAGCCTCAAAGAAATATGTTAATTGGACCCAAGACCAGCAAGAATTCCTGGAAGAGTTAAAGAAATAGATAAGAATAGTAAAGGAAAATTTGGGGAAAGAAATGAGAGTGACACAAGAAAATTATGAAAAGAGAACTAACAGCTCTGCAAAAGAGGCACAAAAAATTACTGAAGAAAATAACATCTTAAAAAACAGAATTGGCCTAACGGTAAAAGAGCCACAAAAATTCACTGAAGTAAAGAATTCCTTTAAAAGTAGAATTGGCTAAATGAGGGGAAAGGTACAAAATAACAATGAAGAAAATAAATTGGGCAAGTGGAAGCTAATGACTCCATGGGACTTCAAGAAATAATAAAACAAAGTCAAGAGAAAAGATAGAAGAAAATGTGAAATATCTCATTGGAAAAACAACTGACCTGGAAAAATAGATTGAGGAGAGATAATTTAAAAATTATTAGATTACCTAAAAGCCATGATAAAAAAAAAAAGAGCCTTGACATCACATTTCAAGAAATTATCAAGAAAAACTGCCCCAATATCTTAGATCCAGTGGGTAAAATATAAACTGAAAGAATCCACCAATCAGCTTCTAAAAGAGATCACAAAATGAAAACTACCAGGAATATTACAGCCAAATTCTAGAGCTCCCAGGTCAAGGAGGAAATATTGCAAGCAACCAGAAAGAAATAATACAAATACTGTGGAGCCATAGTCAGAATCTCACAAGATTTAGCAGCTTCCACATTGAAGTATTAAAGGGCTTAGAATATGATAATCCAGAAGGTTTGGAGCTAAGATTATGACTAAGAATCATCTATCTAGCAAAACTGAGTATAATCCTTCAGGGGGAAAATAAACATTAAACGAAATAGAGGGTTTCCAGGTATTCCTGCTGAAAAGACCAGAGCTGAATAGAAAATTTAACATTCAAACAGAAGATTCAATAGAAGTGTGAAAAGGTAAACATGAAAGAATAATCATAAGGAACTCAATGGGAAGATAATACATGTAACTCATAAAAACTTTATCATTATTTAGGGCAGCTAGAAGGAAGTCTGCATAAAGCGCATGGGTTTGAGTCAATTATGTTGGAATGATCTACAAAAAAGAATGTAGGGGTGAGAAAGAGAGTGTCACTGGGAGAAAGGAGAGGTAAAATAGGGAAAATTATTTCATATAAAGAAGGTGAGCAAGGAAGAGTTTTTATAGTGGAGGGGAAAACAAGGGTAATGTCAGGCAATGCTTGAATCTCACTCTCTTCAGAATTGGTTCAAAAAGGGAAGAACATATACATACATACATATATGTGTGTGCATAATACACATACACACATACACACACATATATATACACATACATATCTTACTAGACAGGGAGATAGGAGGAATAGGGGATAAGAAATATCTAGGACATGATAAGGGGCAAGGCAGATTAGGGGAGGCAGTGGCCAGAAGCAAGAGAAATGCACAGTTAGTGATGAGAACTGTGAATGTTAATGGCATGAGCTAACCCATAGAACAGACATGAACAGCAGAATGGGTTGGAAACCAGAATCCAACAATGTGTACAAGAGACAAACTTGGGACAGAAAGACACATCCAGCACCGAAATGAAGGGCCAGAGCAGAGTCTATTATGATCTCAGACAAAGCAAAAGCAAAACTAGAACTGATTAAAAGAGATAGCCAGGGAAACGACATTTTAGTCAAAGGTAGCGCAGACAATAAAGTAATCCAAAATATTGTATAACAAGTTTCTTTGATAAAAGTCTCCTTTCTCAAATATATAGGAAATTGAGTCAAATTTATAAAAATAAAAGTCACTCCCCAAAGATAAATGGTAAAAGGATTTGAACAGGCAGTTTTCAGAAGAAATCAAAGCTATCTATAGTGACATGGAAAAAATAATGCTCTAAATCACCTTTGATTGGAGAAAGATAAATTAAAACAACTCTGAGGTACCACATCACACTTATCAGAAATGACAAATGCTGGAGGGGATGAGGGAAAAATAGGTACACTAATGAACTGTTGGTAGAGTAGTGAACTGATCTAGTCATTTTGGAGAACAATCTAGAACCTATGACCAAAGGGCTACAAAATTATGTATACCCTTTGTTGGGTTTTTTTTTTTTTTTGGTTTTTGGGGTTTTTTTTTTTGGCTAGGCAATGGGGTTGAAGCGACTTGCCCAGGGTCACAGAGCTAGTAAGTGTCAATGTCTGAGGCCAGATTTAAACTCAGGTCCTCCTGACTTCAGGGCCAGTGCTCTACCCACTGTGCCACCTAGTTGTCCTGTGTATACCCTTTAACCCAGAAATACCAGTCTGTATGACGAGATCAAAGAAAAAGGAAAAAGATGTATATGTACAAAAATATTTATAGCAGCTCTTTTTGTGGTATCAAAGAATTGGAAATTGAGGGGATATTCACTTTTTTATTTTGCTTTTTTGTGATATGGCTAACATGGAAATATGTTTTGCATGATTTCACATGTATAATTAAAACATTGCTTGCCTTCCCAGTGGGTGGGGTTGGAGGAAAGGAAAGAATCTGGAACTCGATTTAAAAAGAAAAGGATGTTTGTAAACTAACAAATAAATAAAAATGATGCTTTAAAAAAAAAAGACATAGGAAATCTTTGTCACCAAAGTTCTTGTCAGAAATGGTTTTATCTAGAGAAATTATGCTAAAGAAGTATTACTATCTGCCTTACCCCTGCACCCTAAAGATTACTGGACCTTTATGTCTGACCTCCAGTTGAAACTTGGCATATGTGTTGTCTTCCCATTAGAATTTGTAAAGTGCTCAAAAGCAATGACTATCTCCTTTTTCTATTTATATCTCCATCACTTAGTACAGAGCTTGACACATAGTAATCACTCAAGTGCTTTTTTCATTCATTCATTTATTCATTTGTCCATTCTAGAAGCCCTCCTCTGGCTACTCACCAACTTATAATTGTCTTTCTGAAACTGTGGCTCCTAGAACTGAACACAATATTCTGGTTAAGGTGTATATGGTGGATTTATCACCTTCTTACTGTTGAAAGCAACACCTCTCAATCAGTGCAAGATCACGCTAGTTTTGTTGACTGCCATGTTATACAGCATGCTGAATCTTATC